ATATGATTGCTCTGATTTCCTGGCAGTCCTAGTAATACTATGCCTTACATAAATCAATTATATTTACTATCAGTATGTGTTCTCCGTGGATTGTTTTGTCGTCTCAATTTTTAGTCTGGAATATTAAAACTATTAATTTAGAAATACTTGTTTAAATCAATAATTGTGGTTTTTACTAATTTGCACTTCTACTTAAAAATAAGAGAAATCTCTGGTTTACAATGAAATTGCTGAAGCTTCAGAGTTTTGTTTTTCGGTTTTTTCCCTTTAATTACCATAGAGGTGGCTACCAGGCTGTCCCCACTCTGTTGTGAAAATATGGCCCAGAGCAGAGCAATCTTTACTATTTTTGTTCTGATCCGAAGTTGCAACCGGAGTGTTCCATGCATGGATGTGATCAGATATTCAATTCAAGTTCTACTTAATGTGTCAAAGGTAACTTTAATATTATTCTTTTGCAGGTTTATAAGCTGTAGACTACTTTATTGTAGTTTTTATTTATCCACAAAATTTCTGAAGAAGTTTGAAACAACAAAATTAATAGTTTTGAATAAAAAGCTTCTGAATTTTAACTATGCTATTTTGAAACCAATTATCTACTTTGTAATAATTATGATTTAATTTTCCTTTTGGCAAAAGAAAATTATTTCATGGGCTTAAAGTAATAATTTTACTTTTAACTGATTACATTGCAAGGTATCCCAAGTATTGCGTGAAACTGTGTAGAAATGCAAAACTGTAGTAGTTAAAAATGTGTAAGTTCCAGAAGACAGGCTACTTTGTGAAATTCATGTCATAAATATACTGTATTTACACTTTTTGATTTCTTACAGAACTGATTATTTCATAAATACTTAAAGCTGCTTCAGTATTGTAGTAGTACTGTAGTTATTGACTACAGATTGACTGTGTTAGGTGTTTTTTTTTTTTTTTTTACTTTGAAAATTAAAAATTTGCTAAACACGGGTTTTGATCTTGTATCCATCCTGCAGGCATTTACACTCATTCTTTTATTTTAGGAAAACCCCCAAACATTTAGGCTAAAATTATTTTTAAATTTCTGTAAACTTATTCTAGTTTATTCTTCTATTTTAAACGTAAAATCAAATTCTACAGGTCTCTAAACAAGCTGGGGAGCACAAAGGGTAGCTTTTTGTAACCTGTTACGATGGTGTAACATACAGAAGTGATTTTTATCACTTTGATGCCAGATCAGCTACAAATTTATTCTGGGGGAGAATATGGATTTTGCTTTTTCCTCTAGTCTGAAAGGTATTTTAAAGATCTGTCTGTATAAACTCTCTTGTCTATTTCTTGTATTACAGTATGAAAGAACTACTCAAGCAGTTTATGAAGTAGAAAATTCTATAGATACGTTACTAGACCTACTGCAAATGTACAGAGGGAAAGCTGGGGACAAAATTTCAGAGAAGGGAGGAAGCATTTTCACAAAGACCTGTTGTTTGCTGGCCATCCTTTCAAAGGATTCGAAAAGAGCTTTGGTAAGACTTACATGTTTTGGGTTTAATAATTTGATTAAACATGCTTTTCCTGGGTGGTTTGGAGGTGTGTGTTTGTTTCTCTCCCTATCTACCATACCTATTATGGCTGTAATATTAATTATGACTAAACTCTGATTTAAAAAAATGCATTTCCAAGTTGGTGAAAACACTCATTATTTTGTGCTTTGTCATGCCCTGGTCACTCAGAGCCATTCAATAAGACCTTGAGGTTCTGATCCTGCAATCCTTGCAGGATGATGATATTGCAATCTCTGCTTTCCACAGGGTTTTGATGACTTTCTATTAATGCTTAGCATTATATATAGTTTAGTTGCCACTTAATTAACTTTTATTCCACTTCTGAAAGTTTACTGTTGCTTTTCAGATCTTTATTGTCAGTAACAACTGGCAATGTAATTGTCGATGACTTTGTGTTGACATACTCTAATGTAACAGAGATATAGCCTGTTTCTGAAAGAAATTTCCTTTGTTCGTGCATATTGCTAGAATCCCTAATAAGGTTATTGGGGTAAACTGGGTTCAATGCTATAAATTCACTTCCTGTTTATCTATCAGATAAAAGCACTTAAATTATCCAGTCACCTCTGACCTTCACATTATTCCTTCATTGCTATGAAGATGGGTGTGAACACTAATTTGTGTCTCTGTACAATCATTGAAGGCATATGCCAATGACATGTAAAATTTAGTTTTAATGAGAAATTACTAAAATCTGAGCTTGAATTTTTTTCTATAAGTCGCATACCAGTTAAGTAATTTGAAAGCATTAGACCACTGACTCATTGTGGGTTTGCTGGCTTTAAAATGGTTTCACTGTACTTGTGAGTAGAAGTTCAGGTTAAATTATAAACATTCAGTTTTCATTGAATAAAATAGATCTTGTGATTTGTTAAGTTCCTTTCGAACTTGTGGTATTAACTGTATGCTATTTTCCCCTTTTCTCAGGAAATCCGAAACATACCAAGAGCTGTTACTTGCATTCAAAGCCTATATAAACTCACAGCTCGTAAACACAAAATGGATGCAGAGAGAACACTTGTGAAGCAGAAAACAAACACTCTCTTAAGTGGAACTTCCTTTGTTCCAGTAACTCCTCTAAGAATAAAAACAGTTTCAAGGTAAGACCTTAAAAATTAGTCTGCTGGTTTTGCTGTGGAAATATAATATTTTAATGACAAGCCACTAATATTTTCACAGAATTAAACCAGACTGGGTTTTGAGGAAGGATAACATGCAAGAAATTGTGGATCCTCTGCAAGCAATTCTGATGGTGATGGATACACTGGGTATTGCCTGCTACTGAAATGTAAATGATGTATAGGAAAATGTATTTGTATAGCGTGTATGTAGTAGACAGCTAAATGATTTTGAAAGAAAGCAAGTCAGTGTCAAGCTACCCCCTTGAAAATGTTTTTTTCAAATTACAGTTAACATTTCTATAACTTTTTTGTATTGTATACAGCTTTTGAAATCCTGTTTTGTACTACTACTAAAAGCAATTGTACAATAAAATCTTAAGCCCTGGAAATTTCACTGGTGCAGTAATGTGTTGTTATTATGCAACTGCAAATCTTACAAATAGCATGGTATTCCTCACTGATCAAATATTATGGAATTCTATTACAAACAGTTGTTTCTGTGGGACAGTTATGTTGGCTTGTCTGATCTGGAGAGGTATAGGTAGGAAGGCATAGTCTGTGGATTTCAAAACTGGATACTGTTTTTGGGGAGCTTGAGTTTACTTTCTAGTAAGGTTTTGAGGGATCATTTGTGACTGTAGGAAGAATTTTTCTTTATAATTCCCTTTTTTTAACCACTACTAGATTATGATGGAACAGGATATTGTAAGGATGAATTTAGAAATTCTGACCAGATATTTTGAGGGAGGTGATTTGTGAGTGCTTTCTTCCTATCAAGTGAGCAGTACATGCAAACATGCCTCTCATCCAGCTGAATAGATACCGTTCTTCACAACATCTCCCTTAAATTCTCTTCTCTTGAGTGTTGGAATTGTATTTTCTTAGAGAAAGGCTAAGACACTGAAAACTGTAAAATCATACCCTCTCACCCTCAATTTAAAGATTATGCCTCCCAAGGGTGGGACGTGCTGATAAATCAACTGGTAGCCATTAGTTAGGTGATAATGCATTGCAAATGAGGTTCTAAATTTTTTGTTCATTTGTTTAAAAACAGAC